ATTCTGAAATTACGGGTCGCGTCATTCATTCTGCCGTTGGTTCTATTGCATTCCTGTTGTTATATTTCGTTGGAAAATCTCTAAGAGAGGTAAAGAGGGAAATTAAATCGTAGAAGCGAGCAGTCAGTAGTTCTTGAACCATTGTGCGCGATGGTCGAAGTACTGAAGTATTACAGTTTCCCTAGAATTCTCTTAACAATGTTAGGACTTTGGCCGTATCAAAACACGAGATTTACCATTTTGAAAAACAGCTTCATCAGTTTCAGTTTTTTTATTTTTATCGTGGCACAGGTGCTGTGATTATTAATTTTAATTTTTCTGTATTTTATTATGTAGCTCTCACACTTCCTTCGATTGAACACAATAACGAGCCTGTATTCAAGTAACTGCAATTGTGATAATCGTGCCATTATCCTTATTTATACCTTATTTATACTTTCTTTTAATTAAAAAAAAATTTTTACAACATAAAATTTTGAGTTATATTTCTGGTATATGAAAACGGTCAAATCTGCGTGAAGGTTTCAAAATCTGAACCTCATTAACAGAGGATACCCTTTAGTGGGGTCTTCTTTTTTAATTCCTATTTTTGTACAAATATTTTTTATTATTACACGATATTTCTCAAAATTTTTCAATTTAGTAGCAATTGATTTGTTTCCATTAATCCTATGATCATAGAAATTTTTGATAACGAATAGTCCAGTCAATAGATTAGGGAAAAAAGAAACATCAATTAAATTTAATTAAATTGTATTTATTTAAAAACTTATACATGTTGTATATTATGTTTGCTTTCATTGAACGGGAATATTCGTCAAATGCCTTTCTGTGAATATTTCCAATATTAATTCATTACGTTTTCCAGTGTGTGGTCTTCAAAACTAGGAAATTTATGCTAAAGTACGTTTCGTTCGTGCTCATGAGCTTGGGCTCTTTTGCAAGGTACAATATAAATTGGTATCAACTTCCTACAGTAAGTACTCGATTTAAATAACAATTTGCTTGTAAGCATTTTACAAAGTACAGATAAATCGTAAATAAACATAGGCGAAAAAATTTATGGACAAAATAAAACGCGACATGGAAATGGAACACGGCGAGGCACTTCAGATTATGAAGAAACATGCTTACATGGCGAAAGTCTACGGTATACGATTCGGATGTAAGCAACATCTTTGGAAAAACACTACACGTACGAATTGACCTAGTTGGAGTTTTTCTAATTTCACGTACTTGTGTTACAGCGGTTTTTTGTGTTTCATTAGTAATCGTTCTACTTTATTACTCGTCAATCCATATTTATGAGAGAATTGTGCCGACGAACGGAACTCGTCTGAAGAAATTTCCTATAAGTACGGATTACCTGATACTTGAAGAGAAGTATCATTTGCTCACGTTTCTGCATATGAACTTTTCGATGATAATTTTCGTAATTGTGTTCGCGGGAACGGAAACGTTAACAATTCTATGGCTGAAACATGCTGTC